TCGCTCACCTCACAACAATCAACGCCCTTCCTTTCCCGTACATTATTCCCGTGTTCAGCCCACTCTTGCCCTGGCACACCCTTGTTTTGCCCTGCCCGCGTACCCTTGCCCTCATCCACATCGACCATCTGCGATCTGCGACCTGGTGGTGCAATCCACTTGCAACTTATCTACCTACCTCCAAGATTCATTTCTGTCAGGTTATTGCTCATTGTTCAGTTGTAGGTGTTCTTTGGCAACTATTGCCCATTCCTTGTGTTCGTTCTGTGCCGATTTATTCATAATTGTATTTTGATCAGTATTTTTACCAGTGCATTTGTTACCTATCAAGACTTTGCAAATCATCCGTTATTATTCTTCTGTTACCTACTGTTGGAATCCTTCTACTAGCCGTCATTAAATTGTTTCGAAATCCAACCAGCTACAATGCAAGGCTCACAACCATTTATGTGCTCGCAATCGCAGCCAGTCTCTTTATCATCACTGCACTCACAATCAGAGCACAATCTGAATAACAACAACAATTCCGATCCATCTCAGAATTCAAATGCTTCCAACACAAATAAGCCATCTCCTATGGAGACTTGCGCTCCTTGTGCCAACAATATCGGCAGCCCCTTACTCAGCAGTGATACTCCATCTACCTCATCTCATCCGTATTTCGGTAATGTTCGAAGCAGTAGTAATCAACTGTTCACGCCATCTTCAGCTGGTCTGATGAATAGTGGCGGTGCTTTCACACCACTATCTACGGCTAATGCTCTATCATCGAGTAATTTTCAAAATATGAATTTTAATAGTGGTATGTATGCTCAACCATCAGTGTCTTGTTCCAATTCGAATTGTTCAACTCCATTGGGCTCAGCCACGTCAATGCCGTATTCACGTCAAGCTCAAACGGCTGCTGCTGCTTCGGCGATCAGTCGACAATTGGCGACGTTAATGACTAGTGGCCTGTATCCATTTCCACCGTTATTCTTTCCGTTCGGCAACGGTGTGAATGCGAATGCTGCTGTCAACCAAC